TAGAAAGATAAAGAATTAAAAGAAATAATAACTAGAATGAACAAGAAAGAAGAAATAGAAGAAGAGGAAGTAATGAAAATATTTAAAGAAGAAGAAATGAAAGAACAAGAAGATGTACAATTTATTAATTATTATTATTATTATAATAAGAAGAAAATACATCAAATAATTAATATTATTAATAAAAATGAAATATTAATCAATACATTAGTTGATTATTACCACTATATTAAAACTGTAGCTTCCACTATTAACATAATTAATAAAAATGAACAAGAAAGAAGTGGAAAGAAAAGTATAGAAAGAATATTACAGTCAAAAATATGTAGATTAAGAGATTTACTTCATAATAAACAATATATGAAATTGAAAAGAATATTACATATTAAGAAATATGATATAATCATATTAAAATAAAAACAATAGAACAAATAAACTATTATAAATACCTCCGAAAGATGAAAAGAGTAGAAATAGAAACAAGAAAGAATAATTGGAAAAGAATAAGATGGAATTATAAAATGATGAAATATGGAAAAAGACAACATCTAAATAAATCTAAAGAAGATGAATATCCAGATAATATCTCCACTATTAATTTCTGGAAATGAATCTATGAAACTAACACCAATATAGATTTCCTGAATATTAATTTATATGAAATATTAATTGAAAATCGAATTAATAATAGAATATCAATAATCACTCCAAATGAATTAGATTGTGCTATTAAATTTACTGCTAATTTGAAAGTAAAATGAAAATGATAAAATACAAGGATTTTTGATTAAATATTTAGAACAACCAAAGAAGTATTTATTAAAATTATTTAATGAATGGTTAAATAATCCTAATGAAATACCTCTTCATTTTATTCAAGGAAGAACAATATTAATATATAAGAAAGGAGATAAATTAGACCTACAGAATTACAGACCAATAATGTGCTTAAATTGTCTGTTAAAAGTGTATACATCAATATTAAAGATGAAAATAGAAAATCAATTGATGTTAAATCCAATTGAAATAAAACAACTATCATTAAATCAAATTTGATATAAGAAATATACATATCATCAAAAGAAGGATTTTTAAAAAACAATATTTTCAAAAAGTATTAAAAAAAAAGATAAAACAAAAAGAACTAAAAAAAACAAAACAAAATGGAAGAGATAAAGATTCTTATTATTGGACAAGGAATATTTGGAACATATATAACTGAAAATATTATTAAACCATTAGGGTTTCATATTATTGATATTTTGAGAAGTAAAGACTTTAATAAAATCAATTATTATGCGACACATCAAGAATTATATAATTGTGTATATATTGCTCTTCCATATGAACTTCATAATCCTGTTATTCGTATGTTTCCACCAAATACACCAATTTTATGTGAAAAACCTATTTTAGGATATGACTTACTTCCAAATATTCGAATGGGGTATCATAGATATTTTGACACTCATTTTATTAATGCTAAACTTACAATTCAAAAATTGTTGTTTGAAGGAAAAACTCCAAGAATTAGAATTGTTAGTAAAGATACTGGTGCATCTGATAATGATTCTTTAGAATGGTTATATTGTGCTATGTGTCATGATCTTCATATGGCTATCTTTTTATTAGATAATATTAAAGTAATTGATGTTAGAATAGGTAAAAATCCATCAGAAATTTTTGTTGATTTAGAAGGAAGAAAATGTAAAGTAACAATAGAGTATGCTAGAGATTCATCTACTTATATACAAGAAGTTATTGTTGATAATATTGTATTTGGTTATGACTCTGAAGTATTTAGTGAAACATATGAAGAGACATATAAAAGAGAATTTTTTGAATTTGCTAATCATCCAAAACCAGATGATTTAATGCTTGACTTACAAAAGAAAACTTCTGATCTTCTTTTGTGTTGTGCTAAAATTATTTGCTCTAAAAATAAAAACGCATTGACTATTCATCTCAATAAATATTCAGGTGAAAATTGGAACTCTGAAACTACTAAATCGCTACTTAGTAATAATAAATTTGTTTTACCTTTCGAACCAATTGAATTACAATAAAATAATTTATTTTTTTATTCGTTATATATAACGTTTTGTATTAAAAAAAAATTAAAAATCTTAAAAAAAATAACAAAAAACTGGAAAAATCATAATTTTTAGGATAAAAAACAAAATCAATGATTTTATTAATTTTAATCTTCGTTACACTACTAAATGCTATGAGATTACCAAAAGAAATTATCTTTCCAGCTCAACCACCAATTGGACTTCAAGTAACATGGAGTGGATGTAGAGAAGCTGAAGGATGTAATGTTCAAGAAAAATTGAGTCAATTAGTTCCTTATTTTAATACAGTTGCTGCATTCTTTAGACCAAAAATTGCTATTGGATTATTACCACAAGGGAAAAAAATGAAGTCATTAGAAGATCCTGCACCAGAAACAGTTACTATTCCAGAAGAACCACCTGAAGGTTGTGGATTAACAATTAAAGCAGATGAATGTTCAACAGAAACTGGATGTAATGCACGACTAAGAAATATGGAAATCGGAAAATATTTTAATATTTTAGCATCACACTTCTCTCAATTTTCACCTGACTCAGTTAAAGGACCACATGATACATCATTCCCTATGCCAGTTCAATCAGTGAATATTCCACAAAAAAAAATTAATCAAGCCAAATTAACAGCTCAACATAAAAATGATATTAGAAATATGTTAAATCAACAAAATAAACAAATTTATGATTCTCAAAAACCAATGTTAAATCAAATGTATCAAAATATGGCAAACCAACAAATAACTCAAGATGCTTATCACAATTATATTCAAAAAATTATGGGATTAGAACAACGTCGGCAATCAATGTTTTCTAATTACCTAAAAACAAGAAATAATTCCCCTCATTTTGAAGACATGTACAGTGAACCAACAAAAGCACCTTCTACTAATCAACCAGCAGATCATGAATTAGAAATTTATGGTGGAAATTATTTTACTAATGATGGATATAAAATAATGAAAAAAAGACATTTAGAAAATTTAGGATTAAATGGATATGGAAAATCAGCTTTTACTCCTTCAATAACTGGTCCTTTAATTACAAAATAAAATTTATTTGTTTTCCTTCATATCTTTTTCTTTTGTTTTCTTTATTATAAAAATTTTATTATTAGTTATTTCTTAATAAATAAAACTTAATAAAAAGAAATAGTGTTAAACAATGGATTATTTCTAAGCATTTTCTTCACTTGGTTTTGGAACTGGAGCAACTGCTTGTTGTGAATTTATTCTCTTTTTCTCCATCTCAACAAAATTTTCCATTTTAGCTTTAACTCCTTTTTCTTCTCCTCTTTTCCATTCATTTTCATCATAATTAGTTAGAATTGGTAGTGGATTACCATTAGGTAATAACAACCCTTCAGTAAATAAATCTTTATGGAAATTATCAGTAATTAATTGAACTGCAGTTGGTCTCTTTTCTGGAGTATATTGCATTACTTTAATTAACATTAATACAGCTGTAAATGGTGGGTTCATGAAACGAAGAGCAGCTTCAATTCCAACACCACCAACGTGTGGGACTCTTGTATATGGACTTTCATTGTTCATTGCTTTAACTTCATCCACAGTTGGAGATCCTAATATTTTCATAATACGAGTAATTTGATCTGAAGCACTTTCCCCTTGGAAGAATGGTTGACCAACTATCATTTCAGCAACAACACATCCAAATGACCAGACATCAACTGCAGTACTATATCTAGTAGCTCCAAAAATTAATTCTGGTGCTCTATAATAACGAGAACATATATAAGATATATTTGATTCATCAGGAGTTAATAATTTGGCACTTCCAAAGTCACATAATTTTAAATCACCAGTATCTCTATTAACCATAATATTTTGTGGTTTAATATCTCTATGACACATTCCAAATGAATGAATATATCCAAGAGCCCTAGCTAATTCATATGAAAATAGTCTTGTATATCCAATAGGTAATCTTCTTCGATAATCATGCATTAATTGGTGTAAATTTTGTGGGAAATAATCCATTACAACATTTAAACATAAGTCTTCTGTCTATTTAAAGTAAATGTCATATTCATTTTTTCTCTTAAAAATTACTCCTTCTATTTAATCCTTCAATATAGGATAACGTGGCAACACGAATAATAGTTAATAACAAGAACAAACACATGAAACTTTACTATAGAAATAATTTTTTAGTTCTAACACATTTTGATGTTTAAGCATTTCCATCATTTGTAATTCACGATTCTAAATAATTAATATTATCATTCTTATTTTTTATAATATTGCAAATATTGCTTTAAGAAATGAGAGTCTAATAATTGATTTTATAAAAATAGAAAAACAACAAAATTTAATTTTTCTCTTTTCGGAATTGACAATAAAATTTTCCTTTTATATTCCAAAATGAGAAGACTTATCATTATTTGTCATTTCTCCAATGATTGAATCTCATTTTATTGTTACTCTGACATAATTATAACAAACTTTATATCTACGATCTTGAATTACTCTTTTAATTGCAACAACTTCGTTTGTATTTAAATCAACAGCAAATGCAACAATACCAAAAGCCCCACTCCCAACAATTTTTGATATTCTATATTTTGTATCTTCATTCTCAAGAACTAATCCCTCTTGGTTCCCAAAAATTACTAATGGATTAACTTTTGAATGTCCTCGTTTAGACTGTTTGTCCATACCTTCAAATAGATCTATTAATTCCAGGGTTCCTAGTTGCTCTTTATTTTATTCTTTTTTCTTTTTTTTTGACTTCTAATATTTTTTCAAACCTTTTTTTGAACCTCCTTTTAGTCTATTTTTGTGAAGTGATCTTGTTATTCTTTTTTTATTTCACTCAATATGTTATAAAATGTTATATAAAACATTAAATGAATATGAGGGATTAAGATTATTTAAAGGAGAAATAAAAGATCAAAGAGTATCATAAAATATGGGAAGTTGGTTTAGTAAATTATTTAGTACACAAGAAATAAATATTGCTATGGTTGGTCTAGATAATGCTGGTAAAACTACTATTTTATATCAATTAAGACTTGGAGAGACTGTTACAACAATACCAACAATTGGAGTCAATGTAGAGTCAATAAAAATAAACAATATTAATTTTTCAGTAATAGACCTTGGAGGTCAAAGTAAAATTCGACCTTTATGGAGACATTATTATGAAGGAACACAAGGAATTGTATTTGTAGTTGATTCTTCTGATAAAGAACGGATAGAAGAATCTGGTGATGTTTTAAGAAAAATGTGCAAAAACGAATTACTCAAAGATTGTGCTTTGTTGATTCTTGGTAATAAAAAAGATATTGAAGGAGCAGTTAATGAAGATGAACTAACAAAATTACTAAAACTTGAGATGATTCAATTGAAGTATTTGGTAAAATCCGTTTCTGCAACAAATAATGAAGGGTTGACTGAAGCATTTATATGGCTTAGTGAAAATGTTTGTCATTAAGATGAGACATAATTCTTAATTAGTTATTTTCATTTCAACCATTCACTTTTTAATAACAGAATTACTTAATTTATTGTTATTTAAAAATAAAATTTATGAAAAAGTAAAAAAAAAAAAGAAAAAAATCTTAAATATAATTAATTTGAGATTGTATAATGTATCATACTTTAGAACGTATGTATAATATTAGTTATTTTGCTTTTCAATGGCTAGGTGTAGCAGTTTTCTTCTTATATTTATCATCATTAATACTATATGTTCCTCCTATAACTTCAGTATCACATAATACAACGAATATGGTGTTTGTTTTAATATATTATTATATTACTTCTGTTTCTTTTATTTTAAAATTAACACCTTAGTAAGTCATTTAAAAAAGGTTCTTATTCTGACTTTACAATAGATTTAGATGTTGACTTTACACCATCATTCAATTGGAACACAAAAATGATTTTTGTTTGGGTCAAAGCATCGTTTACAAATAAGAATGTTGTTTGTTTTTAAATTTTCACTTAAATAAAAACTTTTGTTATTGATTAATAGCCATATAACACAGCAACTGTTTGGGATACTATGATCAGAAAGAAAGAAAAAGCACATTTACATTTAACAAATGAAAGAATTGAATATCCTTTAGTTAGTTCCTATAATAGTTTACTTGGAAAAGAAGTTGAGTTAACAGTTGAATGGATGGTTGTCCCATGGTCTGGTGCTACTACTGTTGAACATGGAAATTCTACTAAATTCGTACTTCCTACTGAATTTTCTAAATAATGCAAAAATGGTGATGAATTTTCATTTTTTGTTTTATATATTTCATTTATATATTTTTTTGTTATTTTATATTTTCAACAATGTAAGAATGTTGTTTTTTGATTCTACACAACTAAATCATAGGATAAATCTTTTGAACAAAAGAACTATAAAGAGGTTATGACGTATAGATTCTAACATTATTAATGAAATACGTTAGAATATAAAAGTTAATTTATTATTAAGTATATCATGTATGCTACTAATGTTAATTCAATAACATAACAATACAATGACAAACAAAAAGAATAAAAAAGAAATAGTGAGGTTTAATTAACGTTCTAAAGTTGTGAAAAATGATTTGGTTGATTCTAATAGTAAGAAGTAAATAATTTGTTATTTTATTAATTTTTGTTATTTTGTTTTTAGTTTGGGTAAAAAAAAGAAAAGAAAAAAAGAGAAGTGAAATAATCAGTTCTTAATATCAATGAGCGGAACACCAGTTGATAATGGAGATGAAATTATTATTTTCCAAAAGAAACATAAAACCCAAGAAAGTACTTCAACTGAGTCTATTGATTTGAATGAGGATACAAAAGAAGAAGATATGGATAGTGATGAACTTAAAGATATGGGATTATTTGATAGTGTTTTTGTTAATGTTCAAGGTAATAAAAAGATATATGGAGCACTTTGTTTATTTAAAGTTTGTTTCTTTTTAGAATATTATTATTCACTGAACTATATCTTATTGTAGAAGAGTTATTTATTAAAATAATAGAAAAGGAAACAATTATTTATAAGTTATTTACCAATGGAAGTTCGTACAAATACATCATTAAAGAGTTTTATCACAAGAGATACTACTGTTACTAATATCCAAGATTACAAAATTACTTTTCCATTTAGAGAAATTATTGCTTTTAGTTATATCCAAACAAAAACAACAACTACAATCACATTTGAAATGCAACAACGATTAGTTCCATTAAAAGTACCTCAATATGAGTTTGGAGGAAAGAATCATAAAGAACAATACGAAAGTTTCTTTAATACAATCAGTCAAAACTCATTATGTGAAATCCAAAAAGATGAAACACATAAAAACAGATATATTGTAAGCTATAAATCTGAGTTAAAAGGTGATATAGCAAAATATCATCAAAAAGCATATTCACGTTTAATCAATCCTTTATTAGTTGAAAAAAGAAAAACATTAATTGCTCAAGAACATATTGACACTATGCAACCAGTTAGTAAAACTTTGTTAAAAACATTAATGGATGATAGTGGATATATTAGTAGTTCGAATATGAATGTTATAAGAAAAGTATTATTATATAGAGGTTGTGAAGATGATGTTAGAGAATTTGTATGGAAATTATGTTTAGGATATTATGAAGGTAAAAATACACAAAAGGAAAGAATGGAATGGGATGAAAAAAGGGCTAATGATTATGAAAAAATCAAACAAACATGGACTAATGTTATTCCAGAAATGAAAGAAAATTGGGATGAATTTGCTAAAATGGAAGAACAAATAAAAAAGGATGTAATTAGAACAGATAGGGAAGATACTAAATTTGAAAAAGATGGATGTCAGAATTTAAAAACATTAACAAATGTATTAATGAGTAGTTCAATGTTTAATATGAAAATAGGATATGGACAAGGAATGAATGATATAGTTGCTGTATTAATGAGAATTACTACAAAAGAATCATCATTATTTTGGTTGTTTCAATCAGTTATGACTATGTTACAAGGATTTTATTGTTCTAATGCAAATTATTTATACAAATTGTTAAATAAATTAGACCCAATTATTTCTTTAGTAAATCCTGCATTAGGTAAATATTTAAAAGAACATGACAGTAATAATGTTTTTGCTTATAAATGGATTGTACTATTATTTAAACGATATATTTCAGATAATTATTTATTAAGAATATGGGATTCTATCTTTGCATTTCCTACTTCAAAATTCTATTATTTTCTTGTTGTTGCTTTAATTAAAGAATATGCAGATGATATCATTGATAATCAAATGGACTTTGATGATTTATTTGTTCTCTTCCAAAGTCTTGGTCCAGAAATTGGTGTTGATATTATTTTTGATGCAGACTTAATCCTCCAAGAATTTATGCATATCTCACAGCCATCAGTGCTTACTGATTTTCTCAAGAATGAACCTATCCCAAAATGAATCAATTTTTTCTTCTCTTCATATTCTTTTTTATTAAATTATAGTTAAAAATAAAGTTAAATTTTATTATTATTCGTTGAGGAATTTAAAGAAAGCTACTCATTAAAAGTATCTCAAAAAATTTAGATTAAATGAACTTCTTTACTACTGGAGGAGGAAAGGCACTTCCTAAACTAACTGAGTCTGAATTACTTGAATCAAAAAAGAAAATTTTTACACAAAGCCAATATGAGGATGAAGAGTCTAATAAAAATATGGAAGAAGAACCTTCTGTAATTGACAAAGAAAAAGACCAATCATTGACAATGAGTAATATCTCACCAACAAAACCAATTGAAACTCAAGCAACACAATTATCACAAGACACAATAACTATTATTATTAAAGAAATGGATGAAAATGAAAAAAAAGAAAGTAAAAGCATTTTAAAAGGAAGTAAGAGACAATCAATTTTACATCAACAACCAATTAAATATCCAACTCCACTTAAAAGAAAAGCAATTACACCATTATTAGAAAGTAAAAGAAGGTTTCTTGTACCACATAAATCTATTCTTAAAACAACTTCTGTAGAAGTAAAACCAATTCCTCAAAGTTCTTTTGATCAAGTTAGTTTTCTTTCAAAATATTTAGACACATTTAAAGAAGATATTAATGAGGAAATTTCATGTCCAATACCTTCATATGAAAATGCATTACAAATACCAATTATTGATGATCGTAAGAAAGAAAGAAAAAAAGTAACATTAAGTCTTGAACAGTGGAAAGGAATAATTCTTAAATATGAGAATGAAAAATGGTTAAAGACACATCTTCAACATGTTATATGGAAACAAAGTGGGTATTACTTTCATAATCGAAATATAGAATTTGAAGTAACAGTAAATGGAATTAAAAAAGAAATTGAACAACGATGGATATTTGAAAGAAAACCAAAACGATCATTTTATAGACAAATTTATAATAAAGATGAAAATTGCGGATATTGTCATATTGGAGTAGTTGCAAATATTATTTCAAAAGAATTAACAAAAGAATATCCTTTACTTTTAATGAGTGATGGATGGTATACAATTCAAATACAAATTGATCAAGGAATAAATGAATTAATAAAACAAAACAAAATATATATTGGACAAAAATTAAGAATTTGTTGTTTAGAAAAAACTGAAGATTGGAATGAACGAGAACCATGGGAAGGAAAAGAATTAATATTTAAAACAAATATTAATTGTATTAGAAGAGGAGAAAGAAATGAAAAACTTGGAAGAACAAAATGTAAATTTATGTTAATACAAATTGATAGTGTTAGAGATGGAATTATTCCATGTATTAGAGGATGTGTAGAACGAGTATATCCAATGAAATATAAATTTAAAAATGAAAAAGGAGTTATTGGAGAAAAAGAATATATAAATGAAAGAAATAAAAGAATGAAAGAATTAGAAAAAGAGTTTGAAAGAAAAAAAAGAGAAGGAGCTAGTGAAGAAGAATTATATCAATTTAAAGAAGAAGGAATGAAAATATTAGAATTTAATAGTATTAGAAATATTAAAATACTTGATGGAATGAAGAAAGAAGAAAGAAGTAAAAGAATTATTGTAAGTATATGGAATGATGGACAAGAAGATTATACTAAATTTGAAGAAAAGAAATGGTATGAATTTTTCTCATTTAAAGGAAAAAGAATTGGAGGAAAAATAAGTATAGAAAGTACTTGGAATTGTAATATTAAAAAAATGAATGGAGATATTGAATTACCAAAAGAATTTGAAGAAAGAAAAGTAGTAGAATTATTAGATATATGTGAAATGAAAGAAGGAGAAGAAGTAGATATTATTTGTTGTATATTAAAAATTGAAGAAGAATATTTATATATAAGTGATGGGTCAATGAAAATGGCAATGATTAAAAGAAATAATATAGAAAAGAAACAATTTAATGAAATGGATGTAGTTTGTATAAGAAATATTGTTATTGAAAGTGTTTATAATAGAAATATTGTTCTTAAAGAAACAGGATTTACAGAAATTACTGGAGAAGGAAAAAATGAAGAAGAAAAGATGGAAATGAAAAAGTTAAGAAATATTCTTGAAGACTTCTCTAAACAATTTGAGGGAATGAAAAAAGATATTGTTAGAATTATTGAAGGAAAAGATGAAAATGAAGATATTAAAAATATTATACTTGTTAAAGAACTTCAACAAAAAGATGAAAAAATCAAAGAACTTACTAAAGAATTAGAAGAATTAAAAAAGAAATATGAGTTGAATATATTTGAACAAAAATAGTAAATTATAGTTTAATGAAAATAAATTAAATAGTTTAATAAAAAAGATGAATTATAATGAAATAATTATTGAGAAAACATTTGTAAAAATAAAATAAATCTTAAAAACCCTTAAATCCAATATAAAAAATAAAAATAAAACAATTAATTAAGTATTAATAGATGGAAATTTATAGGAAGAACTTTCTTTTTTCTTCTTTGAATAAATGAAGAAGAAATGCGAAATCCCTTCATGAAATGAAAGAAAAAAAAATAAAAAACCAACATGAAAAAGAATAATAAAATAATAGAAAAAAAAACTATAAATTATAATAAACTTAATAAAATATAAAAAATTGCTTAAAAAAGAATTAATTGACCACGTTGAACCAAATAAACAGGATTAAACAAATAGTTAAATTAAAGAACCAACTGATGTGCGATGAGGGTCATGTTTGTATGAACGAACCAAATACTAAAAGTGCGTTTGTACCAGTTAGTTTGAATAACTATACTACTACCGTTATTATCTCTGAGAAGAAAAAG